CACCACTGAAGTTACCTACCAAAGATCACACGGGTCCTAAGAAAGGCCAAACCGGAGCCCATTTGGCCGAGTTGCACAACGCGGAGATCGACAGTAGGGCAAGAGCCCAGGTGTATGTTAGCGGCCTACCCTTCCATTGGACCTTTCGAGAGACGAAGGGTTTGATCGGTGAGCTCTCCAATGGCGACTTGTCGGTGTATGTTACCATGTTGCCCAGGAAGGGCACTGCCATCGTGAAGCTCAAGACCGATGTCGAAGCTGAGAGAGTGATACAATTATTGAACGGCAAGCAGATTGGTGGGCGGGTTGTGTTGGCTAAGCACGATAAGTTCGCGCAAAAGACGGTTGATAGCAATCCCCAGGTCAATCTGAGTGAGGCACAGCAGAGAGTGTGCCCGTTAGACGACTCCTCATCTGAGGAGAGTAGTAGCTCGGCGGAATGTCATATCCTTGCAGTCGAGACCGGCGTTCTTGATGATAGCCATTGGGCGAATACCTCTTTGGAGGAGAGACTATCGAGTCAACAGTGTCAAGAGCGAATCGTACCGGATATTGTGGCGTTATGCCAGACCAGCGTAATTGTAATCAATTGTAACAAGTCGATATTCGGATTAATTGCGATTCGAAATCAATAAGAAACCTTGTTTTGAGAATCACGACGCCCAGTGTTGGGGGAATATAGGTTAACTTTCCTCACCTGAGTTAACACACTAATCACTCAAGAGCTTACATACGAATTCGAGTAGTAGAAATGTACTGAAACTGGCGACAATAAGAATTTCCTCAACAAAAAGTTGAAGAGTAACATCGCGGGCTGCCCCTGAATCCAGCACTAAATACCTTACAATGGCACTATGTACCTGCAACTGCATGAATTGTACAAGGTTTCTTGCAATTGCATGAGTCAGACCGCAGAGGAAGAAGCTCTACGGCTAATTAGCATGATCAACTGACTCCACGTACGCGTGTGTGCTGCTCTATAAGGACGTGTGAGCACTTTAGTATGGTTTTGTTTCATTTGTTTAGGAGGATGACTGCTAGTCATCCTCCTAGACAAGTGAAACAAAACCTAGTCATTGACTAGTATATTGTTATAGTAAGATGTGTTGGTTGGTTCCTACGTAGCTACTAAACTTAAGTACGGCAACCTACCACTACGATAACTTACGGCGGCGAAACTGTGACCCGGTCCAATCGCCAGTCTGTGAATCATATGTTGAGCAAAAGTGTAGGATATACGATTGTGCCGCACAACTTGTGCGTGTCAGACACACATAGGCGACACCAACCTGTGCGGTTGGTTTTGTGGGAAAAGCGCTGATTCTGGAGGATTGCGAGAGTTAGAGGGGTGCTGGATGAGTTTGTCCGGGTCTGCTGCATTGGTTGGAGGAGCGTCCGATGAGTGAGGGAGCGGGAAATCACCACTTCTCTACTGTAGAGACTCTACGTTCCCAAGAAAATTTTTCTGGATATCGAGTGATCCCACACTGGGGTTGCCAGTGAAGAAAATTGATACCCTGAAATTAGCGTAATCATTGATTAATAACTAATGAGTACATACGGTATTCAGGCCTCTTAGCGATCAAATTCCACTGTGTTTGTGGTTTTTACCCAGTCGGCTCGATCGAGCCGGATATTCGGGGATGAGTCTCAGTGTTCTATGACTCTGCTATGACCAGTCTGGGAGAATATGCACATGGTCAACTACATGTGTTAGTAATATTAGAGAGAATCTGAGGAAATGTTGGGGAATTCTTATTGTTTTCCTGTACACTTGTAGCAGAATTCGTATGTAAACTTGTATCCAGCACTGTCAACGACTTTGAGATATATCCTACTTGTGGCCTCCGAACGGTGGATTATGATGTGATTATAGATACCTGGTGTAACTGTTCAGGTGATGTCATCAGCATTGGTTAGTCTACAGGGAGGATCATCGTACTGGGTAGCAGTTATGCCAGGTCGAGGATTACGATGCTATGGAACCACAAAGGAGGTTATAGGGAATTGCTCGACCGTTGGGTTCAATAACGGTGTACTGAGTGGTGGTCGTTGACCAATTCTGACAGAGGAAGGTGCGAGAACTTGCTGGAGAATTCCTTTGTTGGGATCTACGAGAAATGTAGGGCATGCATTGGTTGGTAGAGAGCATGACTTGTGCATGCGATCAACCGGCGTTTTGCCTCGCGGAACACGTGATCGATTTTAATTTTACTATACAGCATGGGCTATTTATATGATTAGAATTTCCGCATCTCACGAAAATTCTCTATAATCTAGATAGAACTTATTAATGCTTTTTTTGTGAGAGAAAATGTTTTCCCATTTTCCCCATCCGTTTCGGAAACTATATAGTGGGTTGGTTCATAGTTCATTATCCAGTTGGTTGGTTGGTATAGAAAGTATTTTAGTAGGGATCAGAGTTGAGCAAGCGGAGCATGTACTGTCGTTTCACGGAAACTGGGCCATTACATACAATTTTCATCATCAGCCTCTCTTCAGAGAAGGTAGGATGGCTTCAATTTGTGATATAAATATCCCATCAGTACATCGAATCAGTGTATTGAATTGATACAGAATCCCTCTTACATGAGTGAAACATTATCGGGTAAACATGAGCTATGTATTTGAAAATTATGTGAATTAAGTCGTTATATAACTCGAATACCTGTTGGTTAGAATGAAATGGGGGTCACTATAGTCTAATATCTAGATGATAAAATTGAAGAACCTTAAATAATCAATTCAGAAACTTAATTAGAAATCAATAAATCTGTCGCGGGCCGCGGAATCAAGCGTCAGGCTCCTGCTAAGTGCAGGGCCAGCCTTAGTTCCCCGGCCTTAGTTGCGACGTTTTCTTTGAATAGGTAACAATTTCTTGTCATCTTCATTGAGAATATTGCACCGTATACCCGCCGCTAGCACATGTATGCATATTTTCTTCTTTAGGTATTCACCACAGGAGCACTGTACGTCACGCCAGTTAGTAGCATTAGCCGGGATCATCACCAGGAATAGTTTACTGAAGAGTGCTACAACAGAAGTGAAACAGGGATGGCGGTAGGATCCAACAAGAGTGCACATGAATTTGTTGATATTGCGAGTATTCAGATACGATGCATCGGCTCCTCGGGATAGCATGAAGAGTAACCTCCCTGAAATTGATGGAGCAGTAACTTGATGGAAAGGAGCCGACTTCTGCCACTCGTAAGCTTCCCTGAAGAGCTTCTTAGTAACCTTGATGTCATCCGCCGATTGAAAGACTCTTCCAGGGTCAGTCGCATCTTTGCCTATTGCTTCACTGTAGTCACGTACAACCTTGCCAGTCACCACACCGAAGAAGGCTCCGAGAGGTAACTTCTCGCGATGCACCGCTATCTTGAGCTGGTTATTCATAGACTCAAGTCCATTGTTGGTCGAGGGTAAGCGGGGGGCATATCCCTCGTACCAACAGCTATGCCATGGATGATCAATCCAACTTTCCTTTATGTAATCAACGACATCAGGTGCACTCGGTCGATACTCCTCCATGAATAAGGAGAACATGCCTTGAAAGGCCTCGTATGTGACAGCGAGCTGAACGTATGATAGATCCCGTAGAAGATGCCATCGTAATCTCGCGTCGATCTTCAGACTATCCATTTTACTCTCGACATTCTTACGCACATGGAACCAGCACATGCAACGCTTCACGCCCGGGAAGATGAGGTTTGCTGCATTGGTGATTGCCATGGCTCCATCAGCCATGATGAACGTAGGTGCATGCATTGCCAAACCCATCTTCCGTGCCCCTATATTCATGGATCTGAAGAGCTCTGCGAAGTCATCCTCCCTCTCATTGCCGCACAGGGCCAAAGCTATGGGGAAGCAGTGATTCTTATAATCGAGCATAGCCAAAGTGAGCACTGGGAACGAGTGGTAGTTCAGCTTGTATGTTGCATCTGTAGCCAACATATCCGCCGAGCGACTGGCCTCGATCAAACGTCTTGTCGTGAATATGACTTGGAATTTGCGTCCAGCGAATTTGGCGTTCACCTGAGGTTGAGATTCTGATCACTACATGATTGTTAATGTAAAACTTATACCTAGTGGTCTTCTAATTCGTATCCATGTTATTGGATACCTCACCGTTCTACTTGTGTTTCTATACATTTCAAGTCGATGATATTGGCGTCATATTGTCTCTCACGTTTCTCGCCTACTCATTTTAAATAAGTTATTCGCTTGAAACTCGTGCTATTCCGCAACGTTGCTGCTCAAATTTGTCTGGAGGATGAATTCTATAAAGAAAGAATGGGTTGGTTATTTCATTGAATAAAATTCATTCGCTATAAACTGAGCGAGTGTTGCCTGGTCTCCTCACCACGAATGCTTTATCCTGCTCAGACTCCGGTGGTAGCTGCGAATGGGCTCTGGCCATGGCCTCTATGTCGGCTACGGTTATTGCACCACTCCCTCCGTTCATACATCTCTTCAAATATTGGAGGTGATTATCGATCTAATCGACGGAGTAGCGGATAATACGGATAGCATGTGCCCTGACTCACCTGTTTGTCGTTTTTCGGCGCGCTGGTAGCAGGCAGGCTCCCGCGCCGAATCAAATCTTTAATCTTTTCCCTTATGGGCTTAAGCGTCAAAACCCCAGCGTGAATCTCGTCGAGGATAACCTGCTTCACGTCGTCTTTCAGGCCATTTTGGCGTTTCTCGTAGGTAGTATGATCGTGGATAGCATCCGTGTCGTATAAGATGACCTCCCGGCTATAGTTGACGTAGTTCAACATCACCTCCACCCCAACTGCCGGACTCCCATTCGGAACTGGATCTCTTTTAGGCGTCTTCCCACACTTGCAGCAATAATAATAATGCTTGAAGCCTTATTTTTTTGTATAATTACGCCTGATTCATGGAGTCGATGAATAGTAAACAGTGTTTACTACACAGTATAGAGAACAGTGGGACTTACCTCTGAATCGCGTATTGTCCATCTTCCTTAATCCATGCCTCAGCTTCATCCTCGTTTTCAAATACTCTCACTTTCCGCCATTCTTTCCCGGGCCCTCGGCGTTGTGGATCGTCGATTACTCCCTCGGAGGAGTGATGTTCATCATCTGTAAACTCTCCCCCATCTCCAAATTGTGGGGCTAGGACCGTATGCAATAAACCAAGCGGGGCGTCGGAGTCTGCGTGAGTAACTCGTGACGATATCATATTATCCGTCAGCTCCTGCATATCTTCGTACATCTGAGTAGTAAGTCGTGCGAGATTTCAAGAGTCTTGAATCAAGACGCACTGCGAGATTTACCTCGGCCATATTACGATCTTCGCAGTTCCCCTTTGGCTCTATATCAGGCAATGTGCCTGAGGAGAATCATTGTTAGAGACCGGCCACCGGCGAGCATCCAATAGTCCCTTCGACCGCACGGTGAGTCAGCTTGTTCGAAAATACCAAGACCTACTGGTTTTCTGCCTCACTCCGACCACCTCAGTGGCATCCTCACCTACACTTAACCTGAATGGAGCGAATTTGGAGTTCATACGCGAACACTTCATTACTCTCTCTCGACGCCAGGTATTCCACGTATCCTACTCTCCTGTGTTGGAGGTTGGAAAAACGCCTCGAGCTCTTGAACTGGGAGAGAGTTGAGAAATCTGAAGTACACATATCAGGAGTCACTGCTCATTCCCGTTCACCTCAGCTCATCTCCTATGTCAGGTTTTGGTATGGAGGCCTCTTCCAATCCAATGACGGTTTGGTCCGAACGATTTTTGACGATAATAGCAGAAGGGACTTCACTAAGTAACGTTGTCGATGCATGGCCATTGCTTGCATGCCTTCCGTTTTTCTTCTGCCTCAGACCTGTAGACTCAACTGATGGAGGAGCCAAGACGGTATGGCTCATCCCGCCCCATGGATTCGGAGTCGAAGCGTCCGGGAGCGTAATCTTCTCAACGTAACTTGATGATGAAGCGGGTAAAGGAAGATATGGGACTGGCTCGGGAACGACTTGTGTCTTCACAAGTGGGGTAATGTTGGAACGATGGTAACTCGATTTGGACGAGCTAGATCTAGCCGTCGGCGCTTTACTTGACACCGAGGGTTGCTTCATGCTCTTAGCACGTTTAGCAGATGTAGCGACCTCGTCGATGATGGAGGTGAGGCTTCTCATTCTACTGGTAACGCCATCTGCTGCTGGTTTAGGCTGTCTTATATTTACATATGAAACACCTGAAGAAGGTGAAGTTCACCTGGTGAACTCTGAGAGACAGGTGTAGTATTTACCTTTGGGTGTTGGTTTGGCCTTCGCCTTCACTTTCGCTTTCACCTTCTTCGCCTTCGTTTTCGGATCTGCTTCCGGCTGTTCTTGACGATATCTCTCTGGTTTCTGAAGCGTCTTTCCGGCAGCGGCACGTGTTTGCATTTTGACGATTATGGCAAAGCTAGCAAGATGGTCGCTGGCGGACAGAGTGTCTGCTTCAGGCTCATGTCTCACTCGATTGATACACTGAGAAATGCTGGCTCGACAGTGTTTCAACAATGTTGAAGTACCTTCCTGACTGTCAATCCCGGCAGGTGTTTCAACATTTAAAAGCGATTATGAGAGACAATCACGTCGATTACTATGTATGGGTATGAATTGTGAATGACAATTTATCTCCTGCAAAGTAATGTATTGTTTGGATGATCTAGGTCCTGGATGCCAGAAGTATGTAGGACGCGGGCTTCTGCTAATAAATACTCTCTTGCTGGCTGAAGTTGAGCCTCTGAACTCACGCATGTATCGAAGAACGCGCCCTATGTGATTATGGTTGAACTCGCATAACCGCATGTCCGCTCGTAGTTACAGTGTCTCCATCTGAATTTGTTGAGTGTTGCGTTTAGCGAAGTGTGTTTGTCGGAAGTGTGTCGGGAGGAAGACACTCTAAACTACAGGAGGCAAGTGTTGTCCCAGTACGGAACTTGATAATACTCGCAAATATCGGACAAATCGTTTGACTAACGCAGAGCAAAACCTCTAGTAAGCCGAATAACGAATAACAGTAGACGTGTAGAGAAACTTGACTAACAGAGAAGTTAATATTCAATTTCAGGAGATACATGTTGAAAAGTTTAACCTCTCTGGGATTTGAGCCTGGGTCTTCGGCATGAAGGTCGCGCGCTCTTCCTGTTAGACTGGCATTTTTGGGCGTTTAGTGCCAGCGTCAGGAATTTGGTGCTGGATTCAGTTTGAGGGAACATCGCGTTATATTATGATGCAGGCGCGCGCGATTTGCAATAGCGGAGCGAGGCGAATCATGTTCGCCATTTTGTGAAAAATGATGGGTGAACACCGTTTTTTTTCATATCCACAGTGTATTGTGAATCGGTTGTTATTGTAAAACACACTCAAGTTATAGTGAGCGGAGGACCTGACATGTCGATGCAGTCTACAACACTGTTGAAGGAGCATATGGTGGCTGCCATTAGCTCGGGAGTTTCCTCACCAATTAAGGAAGGTTGAAATAGCACCCGCTGATGCTAATGAGACGCTTAGGAGTTGGAGTATAGATGATGGATCCAATATGCAAGTGATGATGATGATCAGTGTTCAGCCGACGTGGTGGCATTATCCGACAGGAGCAATTCCAGAAGTGTCATTATCATATTACTAAGTACATCACTCAGGGCGATATGCTTGCTGAGGTTGCCTCTCGTTAGATACAGAATAGGTTTATGATGTAACGACTGTTCGAGCGTGTAGCGCTATAAATTCGCAAAGAATTTATGGGGTAGTGGCTCAGACTCTCGAACTTCCCCGTGAAGGTCCAGGCTTGATCTAGGCATTCGAGTCTATAATAGCAGCGTCTACTCATCCAGCTTTGATAAAGGGTTTCATAACAGTGAGAAAGACGATGCCCTTAATGACTTGTACGTGGGGAATGGTCGGAGAATGCCTTACTCGCCATACGTGGGCAATTCAAAATGATGTACCCCCCGGAAGTTCCTGGATGATCCCCTGTATAGTAGTTCACAATATTTCAGTTTTTCTATCCTTTATACTACGTATCGCTTCGCCCCATTTTTCTCCCGAATGCAGCCCACAGTCAGCGATTCCGGTCAGATTGAGGCCTCAGTTGATCTAGTCAACTTCGCTTAGCAAAGTTCGCTTTCGGACACTCGTAGTACAACTACTATTCGACGCTGAAATTTTCTCACCGAAAAATGTGTCGACCAGACGCAATCAATCCGGGTTTGACGTCCGATGTAAATTTTAATATACATCTCGGAGAACTTCGTATTTGAGAAAGGAAAATTTTTATTTCGGAATTTTCCCTGAAAAAGGTGAAACTTTTCTAGTTTCAGCGTAAGCTGCTGTATCGTCATTTTCGGGTAATATCATATTGTCGATATGCTATGAGTGTGTGCGTAGTTTATTTGCAGTAGCTTGGGTTGCATAGATTGGTTGGAGTTGGAGAGGATCCGTAGTTCACATGAGGGGACTTGATCATTCATGAGACCAGAATCCACATTATCTTCTTTCCTAGATGATCTCGAGCTCCTACATCGCAGTTGTTCAACTTGAACAGCAAAATTCATCGTCTGGAATCTCAACGGCACTCAGTATCCTCACGCAAGGCATCATGGATGGTTCTGGTAATAATATTCACAAGGAGTAGTGTTAGTCGGTAGTAGTAGTAGTAGTAGTAGTAGTAGTAGTAGTAGTAGTAGTAGTAGTAGTAGTAGTAGTAGTAGTAGAGGTTTTCAGAATCAGTGGTGTTGGTGGAAAACAACACTCATTTCTTGGCAGGAAATATTTTCAAGGAAACTGGTAGTGCAGGGTATTTGGTACTGGTGACAAGATGGGAATTAGGTGAAATTCTGGTAAGCTTATGGGGGCTTTAATTTCTACACATTCTAACTGTCGATGAGACTGTTTATAGTGCCGGAAGGGAAAGTAGGAGCGCGTATTGTGAGAGAGGTTTCGATGAATTGAAATATTACTCTTGGGTATTTCTTTCATGTCAGTGACAACTTGCAGTAGCGAACTTTTACTCCGGCAAATTCGGGTAGATTACGAATATTTATGAATTTTAGAATCGAATCATTGTAACAACAGTTGAAATGGCAATACCACATGATGGAATTATAATAAGATACCGTATCGCAAGTATATCATTATCATTCGATCAATGGGAGTAATAAAAAATTGGCAAACGTTCCCAACTTACCATCGGTGACCTACTGATGTACTCCTCGAATGCCACGAATGCGACAGAAGCTGATCTCGCAGTGAAAGCCTCGGTCGGGTCCTGCGCTGCCGTCGTTGCGCTCTGTCGTCTGAGTCAATCTGAGGGACGAATGTTAGAAATGTAGTTAAAATGAAGTATTAAAATATGGCATTTCAAATATCATATTAAAAGCAATGAAGTAAGATCAATTCCTCTGGATGGGGCGGCTATGCCAACCTAAGATATGCCTGAGTGGGATCAATTCCTCTGGATGGGGCGGCTATGCCAACCTAAGATATGCCTGAGTAGGATCAATTCCTCTGGATGGGGCGGCTATGCCAACCTAAGATATGCCCGAGTAAGATCAATTCCTCTGGATGGGGCGGCTATGCCAACCTAAGATATGCCTGAGTGGGATCAATTCCTCTGGATGGAGCGGCTATGCCAACCTAAGATATGCCTGAGTAAGATCAATTCCTCTGGATGGGGCGGCTATGCCAACCTAAGATATGCCCGAGTAAGATCAATTCCTCTGGATGGGGCGGCTATGCCAACCTAAGATATGCCTGAGTGGGATCAATTCCTCTGGATGGAGCGGCTATGCCAACCTAAGATATGCCTGAGTAAGATCAATTCCTCTGGATGGAGCGGCTATGCCAACCTAAGATATGCCTGAGTAAGATCAATTCCTCTGGATGGGGCGGCTAAGCCAACCTAAGATATGCCCGAGTAAGATCAATTCCTCTGGATGGGGCGGCTATGCCAACTTAAGATATGCCCGAGTAAGATCAATTCATCTGGATGGGGCGGCTATGCCAACCTAAGATATGCCCGAGTAAGATCAATTCATCTGGATGGGGCGGCTATGCCAACTTAAGATATGCCCGAGTAAGATCAATTCATCTGGATGGGGCGGCTATGCCAACCTAAGATATGCCCGAGTAAGATCAATTCATCTGGATGGGGCGGCTATGCCAACCTAAGATATGCCCGAGTAAGATCAATTCATCTGGATGGGGCGGCTATGCCAACCTAAGATATGCCCGAGTAAGATCAATTCATCTGGATGGGGCGGCTATGCCAACCTAAGATATGCCCGAGTAAGATCAATTCCTCTGGATGGGGCGGCTATGCCAACCTAAGATATGCCCGAGTAAGATCAATTCATCTGGATGGGGCGGCTATGCCAACCTAAGATATGCCTGAGTGGGATCAATTCCTCTGGATATCCTAGATATCCTTATGGACATGTCGACACGTATTTGTTGTCCAAAAAACCTGTCCAAAGATCACCCATGGTGTTGCTTCCGACATGTCTTGTCCAATCTGTACATTATTGGGCGAGCGCCACTACGTTTTAAATTGTCGAAACATAGCCCATGGGTTGAGTATTGGACACCTTGTCAACTGTGGACAAGAAAGTTGATGTGTCCAAAGAAGCGCTTATAATGACAAATAATTATCTTACTGATAATGACGCGTCCCAGCAAGCAGTTGTCGATATCCTCAAATAGTCGAGACCTCAAATACAGCATTCATACTTGCTGAATTCCGACCAAATTGGGGGAAGGCGAATTGATTCTGGCTATGTCTCGACAAGTGTGCTCCTCTGCTGCGATAGCTTCCTCTCATAGGGCTGTAGCTGTATTGAAATTAAACGCGTTAAAAGTGCGTTATACTCCATGTAAAGTATAAGACGTGTATGTTTCTGCGACCGATAACACAGTCTTCTCCGCGAAGTGAATTGTGAAATATATTTTCTCCTAGTGTTTTTCATATCACGGGTGGTGAAACTCCATTAATGTTATTTATATGGAGGTTTTGTATAGGTACGTATGTGCTAGGGAAGGCCTCACTGTATTCGCCCCGAAAGATCAAGTATATCATTATCATTCGATCAATGGGAGTAATAAAAAATTGGCATAGTTTTTCTCTCTCTCTGCCATGAACAAAACAAAGGAAGGTATTAAACTCACTTGTCTTCATGTATCAATAACGGCTATAACTGGTGAGACACTTTACCTCATGGAAGATAATTTGTCGGACGCACGACATGAGCCGATAATCATTAGGGATAAATCATATCAACCACCTATACCACAACCTATCCCTATAACCAAATTCTATCACTATATTACTAGTGATGGTACTCTGTATATACTGGGCCTTCGTGACGAAGGGCGGAGCTCACTCAGTCCACGTCTATTGATTCGATCAATGAATTTCACATAGGTCCCCGGTTCGATCCCCGGGTAAGACATTTTTAAGGCATTAGAGTTTTTCGTGCGTATCTCGTCGAGCTGTTTGCATAATCCAGTTTCCGATTTTTTTCCCGAGACCTCGGCATATAGAGGAGTTATTTGATCTATGTGGTGGCTTTCTACGCTCCGTAGTTAAGCCAGAATGATTCTGAAGGCACGCGCGCGATGTTGCGGTATATGCCTCGCTGGCTCCGCAATTACTATTATAGTACCTTATTAATATCGTACTGGAGTTTCAGGCACCCGAGTAGTTGATGGGAGAAGTTGATTTGATTACGAATTCGCCTAAGAAGAAATTACTCGTATTAGCGTTTGCAGGTGCCTCACTGACTCCAGTATTCATAGGTGAATTATATTTGGCGAGCTCGAGAGTGTCCTGAAAAGGAGTAAGGTTTCGCGTTACATACGAGTGATGAAGGCAGTACGAACTGGATGGTTGTTATTTTCTGTGGATCATAA